CTGCTCCTGGGGGTTCGGCGCTCCCCGCAGGAAGCCCCGCGCAGGCAGGGGAACGGGCGCCGGCAGGGGTGGCCTGCCTGCCGTAGCGCACGCCGCAGGCAGAGCCGTCAGCCAGCGTTCGAGCCCCAAGCCATCGCTCTTCCACAGGGCGCAAGTTCTTGTCTGTGCCTGGCCGAATGCTTTTCTATCCGTGCTATTTGTAACTGTGGAAGGGTTGGCCCTGATGGTGTAATGCACCTGTAGAGAAGAATACTGTTGGTTATGTCACACACATGCTGTTTTCATAGTCTCTGCTGGTTTTGTGTCACTCTTGCCACCACTTCACTGCCTAGCTGTGTCCTAGCCCTCTCACTCCTCCCTCCTTCCCCAGCTACCACTCTGCTGTCCTGTGTCTGCTGCTTAGCTCTGTTTTACTCTGCCCTTCAGGTTGGCAATTCTCTTCTGCCTCTTGTAGCAAAACCTGTAGCTTTGATCTTTGAAGTCATCCTTCTGGGACATTGCTGGCTAACTATAGCTCCTGCCTTTTTCCGCTGAAGTAGCAAGACACTAAATATTGGCATCTGTTAGCATTCCCTAGCTGCCTTTACATCACTGCAATGGAAAGGTGTTGTCAGGTTTCCCTCTCACAGTACTTGGTTCTACAGACTTCGCCTATCTGAGCAGGTCTAGTGATGCTTGTGACGCCATCTCGTTTCCATCCAAGTCAATGGATCTTGTATGTGCAAAGTCTGCAAGGTCATTCTCCAGTTACACAACTGCTTGCATTGCCTTCTTAAAATATAATTTAATCTCATCCCTTGAAGCCTTTCTTGCTATGTTCTAGGCTGCTCCTCCAGATGCAGAGGAGTTGCAGAACTTATATGTGCTTTAAGGGAGTAAGACACAAAAACACACAGGTATCAAGTTTTTGTTGATGGCTTTGCTGTTTCTGGAGAGTAGAAACAGAGGCACCGTTGGAAATGAGAGCTGGGGCTGCTTTGTAGTGTCTGGTTGTGGCTGTTGCAACTCTTCGGTTCCTTCGTTTCTCCAGCGGTTGAGTTTTCTTACCCCAGGCTTTGCTGAGCAGAAAGCCAGCCCACATGTCTGACTGTGGGCTGGCATATGGTTGTTCACGAGGTTGCTCAGGAGAGCATGCATCTTCCTGCGGCTGGTCTCAGTGGCTGCGCACACGGTGTTGCTCAGGGCGGCCAGGATCAGGCGCTCAGTGGGGCCCTCCAAGGCCAGTTGCTGGATCTGCTGCTGCAGGCACTTGCAGAGGTGGAAGAGCACACAAAAGCATATGTGGCTTTTGTGTGCTCACTAATTGAATATAGAGTTGGCATGCAAGAAAAGTCAAAACTAAATGCTGGCAGCCTACACCATCATTGCTCCCTCCATTAATGCTTTCTCAACACTTACAGGTTCATGCAGGTGAAGTTCGGTTGTGCTCGGACTCAAAAGTACAGCAAGAAGAGAAAGCAACAGCCCAGCTTGTGTCCGGCTTATTTTGTGTTGCAATATAAGGAGGACATAGATCAGCTTGTGATCAGCGAACTGAACAGCAACCATGTCCATGCGGACCTGGTGTTGTCCCTGACCAGAGCCACTGCTGTGATGGCAAGCACTGCACCACATGCCAGCCCCGCAACAAAGCTGCATGAGCAGCAGGAGGCGGGTGGGACCAAAAGCAGCACTGTGGCGGCTGAGGACTCGCACGCAGTCACAGGACAACCAGTGGATGGGATGCTTGCTCCGCACAGGGCTCCCGTGCTCCCTGAGGCAGCAAAGGAAAGTGCCTCGGCCTCAGCGCTTGTCAGGGTTGCTGAGGTCATGAAAACCTTCCTGAGGGTGGACAGGGGCTCGCTGGCCTCAATTAGCGCAGACAGTGACTATGGCCTGGAGAGAATCAGCTTCCAGACCAGCAAGATGAAGAGCTCGTTTATGCAGTTCCCTGAGACCCTCCTGCTGCACAAGGCGCCGAGCGAGGGGGGTCACGTTCTCTATGCTTTCCTTGTAGAGAGTAAGGAGCGAGTGGGGAAAGTGGTGCATTTGTCACTGCTGAAGGATGACACAGGACACAGCATCAGGAAAATGCTGACTGTCTTCAAGGAGTTCAACCCCGAGTGGCATAAGGTCCAGGCTGTTTTTGTGGACATGTCCTTCTTTCACAAAGCCCTCCTCCACGAGCCCTTTCCCTCTGCCCAGGTCCTCCTTTCTGTCTATCACACTGTCCGACTGCTTGAGAAGAATGTGAAGGAAGCAGAAATCTCCTCTTCCTTCAAGCAGAACTTGACACTGGCCTTGCAGAAGGCCGTGTTTTCCCCTTCAGCTGCAAGTCTGGATGCCCTGTCCCAGCTGGTGAAGCACGTGGTCAGCCCAGAGCTGTATGACTACCTGCGAGCCAACTGGTTCTCCTGCGAGCTGCTGTGGTGCATGCATGCAGAGAAAGGTCTCCACTGCTGCAGCATGCACATGGACAGCCTGGACCTCATCACACACCAAATAGCCAGTCTCTTTGGCCAGCAGCTGTCCTTGGAGGCGAGCATTCCTTGTTTTCTGGAGTGTGCAGACTGCCTAGATTCCAGAGGCTTGGAAAGCCTGAACCAGGGTTTCTCGAGCACCAAGAAGGATGGTCAGAGCAGCCTCTGGGAGAAGCCCAATGTGCACATGGGTGCTGCAGCAGAACCAGGCCTCATTTCTGCCTCTCCAACTCTTGCCGAGCACCCCAAGCCTGCTGGGTGGGCTGCCACGGCAGGGATGGGCTGCATGCTGGCCATGCTCCGGGAGAGCTGTACGGACCTGGGCTACTGGCTGTGCCTGAAGGAGTGGGAGGTGGTGCAGATGTCCCCCCAGCTACTCAGCCCTGTGCCGGGCAGCCCCTC